ACAAAGCGATTTGAATGTGGCGAGAACCATTTTGACATCTTGTCTCACCTTCTACCGCCATTATAATTCTATTTCACCTTGCCATTAAATCTCAAGCACAGAAAACTTTAAAAGTTGCACTTTATTGGCAAAATAAAAGCTTTTCCACCATAAATCATTCAATGTTGAAGAGAGCGACAAACAAACGTTTCATATTTATCGAGATTTCACAAAGGTAAGATTTACAATGGCAATGAAAACAAACCACAGTTTCTACTACAGTTGGAAACTTTAGATTGTGTCTCAGTTCAAACAAAACATTTCCCTAATCGATTTGGAATTCTTGTTTTCTTTCTAAATTGAGATGAATACATCAACGGACTGGAGAGATGAAATGAACCAAATGCTGCATTCGAACGTCAAGCACTTCAGTCTTTGGGAAAGATAAAGTTAGCCTTCAGTCGATATGGTCGGTTATTTGATTCAGATTTCGAGCATTACTTTTTAGAGGCATCAAACGAACGGTACGTATGCTTGATTCGAAAAAATTGTTTGCTTTTCTGACCCATAAAATATATGCATATTTTTCACAGCTCTACAACCACCTACCGTCAATTCGAAATCAATTTACGGCTTGAAGGAAAATTGTGCAGTTGCACTGCCTCCGGAATTATAGATTCACAAAGTGAGCAACTGGAAAGCAAAGAGTTGATTTTGGGCATAAACGTCATCGAAATTAATGACTCAATTGTCGGAGACGGCACGAGAGGTCCACTTAATGTGAATACCACAAATGATTCGACTCAATTAGTCCGAGAGCAGAAAGAAACTGCTGCTTCTGTTCCCCATAAGCACCACGTATCCATGGGAAATAGTACACTGACAACGTTGACCGGCGATCGCAATGAAACTCTCTTTGACTCAACAACAATTAAACGAAGACGATTCAATACGGAAACAAGTTCAATGACTTTGGATGAATGAAATGAAATTACCAGCTTTGGAAATCCACCGGTGTCTGATCATCGGTAAGTTGTGATTTTAGCATTTGTATCGATTCACAAAAGTTCAATTCCAATTTTTTTCTCCTTCCTTAAGAAACATTTACACCGATAGTACAGGTCAAACGGATTCATCCGCGGAACACCAATTTGATGACTCGAATGATAGTTCTGGTTTTGACAACAATGAAACTATTGCGTCGATTGAAGATGTTTCCAACGAGGCTGGTGTAAACAGTTGCAAGATTTTCGGGCGAAACGAACAATTGCAGGATGTTCGAGCAGTGGATCTTGATAGCCCCATGGATCTATCGACCCGTCGAACTCTTGCAATAACACTTTGGAAGGTCGATAACGATTGGATTGAGGGCCAAAAGAAGATGAAAAACACGACAATGGATCCATGAAAAGATGATCAAAGCAATGATGATACGGACACATCTTTGGAGATGCACACGAATACACCGCGACAGTCACTACCGTCGGAGATGAAGATGCGATACAAGTGTCGTCTTTGTTAATACTCTAGTAATCAATGGGGGAACACTAAGCGACATCGGGGAAAAGCTATATCAATGTGATATTTGTCACAAAGAATTCACCCAGTTTCAGCACTTGAAGTGGCACAAAGTGACTCACACTAATGAATTTCTATTCCATTGTCCCAGCTGTTTCCAACGATTTTCACTTAAGGAGGAAAAAGATGCACACGATAAAGTGTGCAAAAAGCGTCGACATGAATGCCATATCTGCAAGAAATTTGTCTCTGTTAATAAAAATCAGTTGAAACGACATAGCGGAAGCATAGCGGTGAAAAACCGTTTCGATGCAAGATTTATATGATGCGTTTCACACAAAAATGTAATCTGAAGAGACATTTGAACAACATCCACGGTAGAATCAATCCTTAAAAAAGAAACACCTAAATCCGACCATTTACAATAGATCGTAATAGAGCGTTCATAACTGCAGTTATTTGCACGCAAATTGAATCTTCCGATATAAATCTCTAAAAAAAGCTCTCTGGCCACTTTCTTCTCATTAAAGGATTTTTTTTTAAATTGAGTTGTATTTAATACAAGAATTTGGATAAATAAAATTAATTTTATTCTTTTATTTGTAATTTTCTTTTCTACTTTGACGAACGTGATCCAAAACTTTTGGACCAAAAGAAACAGAATCCAATTCGCAGCCGGACAGTTCGAATGCGGCGAAAAGTGATTTTGACAGCTCATGTTCCCGCTCAGAATATTGCATAGCTATTGATCACACGACGCGCTGTGCAAACCACGTTTTTCATTTATTTTATGAATTACACACAAATTGATTGAAAAAGCAATAAAATTTTCAAAAGATCACTAGATTACGGTTCGACTCAACTCATTTCAATTTATCTAGAAAGAGTTTCACTTCGGTAAACGATCCAGAATATAATTTGTATTTGTGGTTGATTTGTTCATAGATCGAAACAAGAGGTCAAGAGGTAAGAGTAAAAATTGCATTAATATTTAAAAATCCAACAAATATACTGACGATTATATGAAGAATTGCACATTTTATTATGTTTATTGTGAAAGGGTAAGAAATAACAAGATTATATTTGGTTACATACACAAATACGGCATTGTAGCTCAGTAAAAAAGATAAATTGAAAAAATGAAACCAATATGGCCGTCCAGTGTTTCAATTTGAGTATGATGGCACAAAACTTTTTGCGTAGAATTCTTTCATACATTTGGCTGGTTTTTTGAACATTAGACGACAAGAACCAATTCGTTCAAGAAATTGGCATGATCAATTAAAATATTTTTTGCTCAAATGACCTGTAATCTTGTTTTTATTCCGAACGTAGATGAATGCATCAACAATGGACTGGAGAAATGAGATGCACAAATTGCTTGGTGTGTTCGATCGCCAGACAACAATTTCATTGGGAAAAATCAAAATGGCCTTTGAATTCAATGGTCTATCGTTTAACACTGAATTCAAGAAATATTTCCTGGGTGCTTCATATGATCAGTGAGTAAAGATACCATGTTGACAATTAGTAATGTTTACGAGTATTGTTAGTAGTTAATAATTTTTATTGTAATATTTCTGTAGAATCAAGACTACTTATAATCAATTTGAAATTAATTCGATGTTGGAAGACCGGGTCAATTTTGGTCCAGATGCAAGCATGCCAACGGCAGATAGGTTCCAGATGGCGAGCTCAATTCATGGTATGGACAATGACCAAAGGCCTGTTCCAGTGGAAATCATTGACTTAAGTGATGAAGAAGATCAAATCAAAATGAAATCGTGGGTAGCCCCATTTGGCATTCAGAGCGATAACCATGACGAAACATCTGAACGGAACAATTTTGAAGACTGTACCAGCTACACCGATATGCCACACACAAACTTGCGTGGTTTTAATTACCAAAATGCAAAAAGCGAAGATGGCATCCAGAATGAAACTGAGAAAGCAACGAAAATGGTGCAAATGGAAATGGACGATGGCATTCCAACATTTGTTGATGATTTGAACACCAAGAACAGACAAGCATCAACCTCCACATGGTATAATGAACGAAACATTGTGAATAGTGGCAAAAGCTTTAAAAAGGGAAGACTTTTGATTGGTTGTCCAAGAAAAGGTGCTGAATCACGTTTGACTTCAGAGTCATTGCGGAATAAAACATCTATTCTATCAAACCATTCGGAGATGAAGAAGCGATTCAAGTGCGAAATTTGTGAATATTCCAGCAATGACAAGGGAAACCTCAAGAAACACAAGCGTACTCACACCGGCGAGAAGCCGTATCGATGTGATATTTGCCAAAAAGGTTTTATCCAGTCAATTCACATGAAACAGCATAAAGTGACTCACATCCAACAAGTTCCATTCCATTGCCGAGGTTGTTTCAGTGGATTTTCCCAGAAGACCGACCAAAAGGTCCATGAAAAAGTGTGCAAATATCGTCGATATGAATGCCATATCTGCAAGAACTTTGTCAATGTGAATAAAGCCATTTTGAAAGTACATATGCGAAAGCACAATGGTGAAAAACCGTTCCGATGCCAGATTTGTATGGTGCATTTCACGCAAAAATCTAGCCTCAAAACACATTTGGACAACATCCACACCAAAATCAACGCATAAATTCAATCATTCAACACAGATGGTAATACAGTTTCATTCACGACTATAAACTACTTCTACCAAATTAAAATTTAAATGAAACAACAACAACCAACATTGTACGAACTTCACAAGATCATATTCAACAAACATTTCAAACATTAAAATGATTTCATTTTCACATTCTCTGAAATTAACATTGTTTTCTATAAATAATTTCATAAAATTAAATTCCAAAATATCGCTTCTTAGTCTTCTAATCCTTTGTTTAGTTTAAAATCAACTTTAAATTTGTTGCAAAATATTGAAAAATAAATGCGGCGAACTGAAATCGCCACGAAGTGGACTAAAATTGGGGATTGGAGAAACTCATCTTGACAGCTTATGTCAGATTCCATTGTCACACTATATCATTTGCGTAAGGCACACTTGGTATTCAGAGCACGTGTTTTCACTAATTTGATCTTACTTAGTTATAATTAATTTCATTAAAATACGTTGCCAATAAATATCATTCACTTTAGTCTTGAAAATTGCATTTTATTACCAAATCAAAAGTTCAGTTACAGAACTTGACGGAACTTAATTAAGGTACGCTTCATATTGATTATGAAAAAACCCACAGCTTCTAGAATCTAGAACTTACCCCTCCTGGCATTCAAAATTTCCTATTTTACACTAGAGGAAAATGGAAATGTTAACATTTACAAAATATTGGTTTTATATTTGAATCGTTGCGGCGAAAGAGTAGCTCTTATTTTTCTCCAAATAATACTGCAACATAAAGTTTTTTATGAATAGTTTATTTGAATGGGGTAGAATAAAAACTACTTCTCGAAAAGTGTTTAAACACGAAACCTAAAAAAAATTTTTAATGAAAAGTGAACCAATTTTTTTTTGTCCAATTGAAGTGAACCAAAAAAAATTTGTTCAATAAAAGTGAACTTAAAAAAAAAATTCATTTTAGTGTATTTTACACTGAAAAAACCGAGTGAAATTTTTTTTTGGTTCACTTTTATTGAACAAAATTTTTTTGATTCACTTCAATTGGACAAAAAAAAAATTGATTCACTTTTTATTGAAATTTTTTTTAGGTTTCGTCTTAAAATACCAATTTTTCGAGAAGTAGTTTTTATTATTTATTTGTATTACAACAAATAAACCATGTGAAAAAAACTTCATGTTGCAGTATTATTTGGAGAAAAATAAGAGCTACTCTTTCGCCGCCACGATTCATTTAACACGCCTTTTACAAGCACAATTGGACACCTAATAATGATCTTTTGGGAATTGTTGTTTTCTTTCTAAATTAGATGAATGCAACAACAATGGACTGGAAAAACGAGATGAGCAAAATGCTTTCTGTATTCGAGCGTCAAGCAAATCATACTTTGGGCAACATTAAGTTGGCTTTCAAGCGCAATGGTTTATCATTTGATCCAAATTTTAAGCACTACTTTCTACGAGCATCGAATGAGCGGTACGTATATATTTGAATTTTGAATACTGTTTTTTTTTTCAACCTTTTCTAATATGTTTACTTTTAACAGATTGACAACCACTTACCATCAATTCGAAATCAATTTACAGTTTGAAGAAAAGTGGTTTGATTGCGGTACAGCAAGTGCCAAAAACTCAGTCTGGGATCAAAGGGAAAGGAAAGAGTCAATTCCAAAGATCGATTTAATCGAAATCAAAGATTCAAGCGACGAAGAAGGCGCCAGAGGAAGCACCAAGAACAATTCGACTAAATTGGTCCGAAAACAAAAATTGGATGAAAATAATGCTTTGGCTTCTGTTCACTACAAGCACCGTGCTACCATTGGAAATAGCAAATTGACAAAAAAGACCAGTGATCGCAATGAAACACGCATTGGTTCAACAACAATCAAAAGACGACGATTCAATAAGGAAATAATTTCATTTGCTGGAGGTCGCCAGAATGAATCAAGTGCTTTTGATAATTTTTTCAAAACTGCGGCAGCCAATCGCCAGCAGACTAATCAACACCGAGCAATAAATAGATCCGGAAGCACTTTTCAATCGATTTTGGGTGAAAGTCGAGTATCCATAAACCCTATGCTAAGAACTTTGGCTGAAACAAATCAAATCACCAGTTTTGGAAATGTCCCAATTCCTGATGATCAGTAAGATTGAGTTTCAACAATCAACATTTTTAATACAAATAAATTCAATTCTAATTCTTCTCTTCTTTCTTCAGGCACATCAAGATCGAAAGCACAAGTTCAATTGACACATCAACAGAAAATGTATGTGATAATCCACTCATTAATAAATGCGACCTCGCTTTTGACGACAATTTAAAGGTTGAGTCGATTGGAATTGCTTCCAATGAACGACGAAATGAAGCCAGAGGTGAAAGAGAAAAGGTATTGGAGAATAAAACACGGTCATCAATTCCTTTAAACCAGGTGGAAATTAAGAAGCGATTCAAGTGCCAATTCTGTGAATATTCCAGCAATGACAAGAGAAACTTCAAGAGACACACGCGTACTCACACCGGCGAGAAGCCATATAAATGTGACATTTGCCACGAAGGATACATAAATCTACAAAACATGAAGAAGCACAAAGTGACTCACACCAACGAAATCCCGTTCCATTGCCGAGGTTGTTTCAGTGGTTTTTCCCAGGAGACCAAGAAAGATGCCCACGAAAAAGTGTGCAAATATCGTCGATATGAATGCCATATCTGCAAGAAATTGGTCACTGTGAATAAAACTCAGTTGAAAATGCATATGCGAAAGCATAACGGTCAAAAACCGTTCCGTTGCGAGATTTGTATGATGCGTTTTACGCAAAAAGGAAGTCTGAAAAAACATTTGGACAACATCCACACCTAAATCGAAAATATCTGCTTGAAAACTGTATAAATATCAAGCAAGCTTCTATAACCAATTTGATTTGGTACCAATATAATCATTTCAATTTAACGCATGCCAGATTACAACATTATGGTTTTTGTTGATATGCATTAAGTCATTACACATTTTCAAATATTGTTTAAACTACAGAATGAATTCAAAATAATTTCAATTTTTCAATTTCTCGAAATAAATAATCAATTTTTCCCAAAATAAACTAGTTTTTCGAATCTAATTTTCAAAAATTTATTAAATTGGACCATTCCATGTATCTCAGCATCGTCGAATCCCACCAACAGTCTGAATTTTAAATTCGAAGTTTGTGCGAAAATTCATATTTTGAATTGAATTCGTCACAAAGCGATTTGAATATGGAAATGGACATTTTGACATCTTATATCTATTGAAAATATCGAGAGGAGAGTATGTTTTTATTCAGACATTACTCAGCTATAAGCGCTGAATAACATACCCTCATCTCGATATATTCAATAGATATCACCATTATAATTCTATTTCAATTTCGCAAAGGACACTTAGCATGCAGAACACGTGTTTTCACTAACTTAATTTTGAATTATTATAATAAATTTCGGTAATACGCTGTATACGTTGTCAATAAATATCAAGCAAAATTGTGAAAATTGCACTTTGTTACAGCAACAACAAGCGATACAATAGATCCAGACTTATCGTAACTTTATTAAGGTAAGATTTACGTTGGCGATGAAAAGAAATTATCCAAAAATCAGGATAGCCAAACACGTGGCCAAATTCTGATTCTACGAACTAAGCGTGCTAATCAAAAATTGGAAAAATAACTTATCTCTTAATTTGAACAAAACATTTATTTGATCTTTTGAGACTTGTTGTCTTCTTTCCAAATTAGATGAATGTAGCAACAGCAACGGACTGGAAAAATGAGATGAGCAAAATGCTTGCTGGATTCGAGCGTCAAGCAAATCATACTTTATGCAACATTAAGTTGGCTTTCAAGCGCGATGGACTTCCATTTGATCCGAATTCTAAGCATTACTTTTTGCAAGCTTCAAATGAGCGGTACATATAACTCCATATTTGAATCAGAAATACGGTATATTTTTCCAACCCTTTCTAGTATGTATAATTGTATATTTTTCATAGATTGACAACCACCTACCATCAATTCGAAATCAATTTACAGCTTGAAGAAAAATTGTTGGAAAACACGAAACAGAATACGGAGCGAGACGCGAAGAAAGTAGTGTTTTTGCATATACGCGTCGTGCCTTGCGTCTTAATTTTTATTCCCCTTTTTCATCTTTTTGTTATGTAGCGAAATATTATATATAAGATAGACGACGCTGATATAAACAGAGAATTTAATGCTTTTAACGTAAAAATGATTGTATTTGTGATTGTTACTTGCAATTAAATGCTCAATGCAATGTAAGAATACTTTGAATCCTATGAAATGAATAAAACGCCTGAATTCACACAATTTCATGTCATACCGTTGGAACTTCCGCTTTACAACCTTTGCACGACTGTAGAAAAAAGGTGAAAATCGTGACCTATGGAGATTTTCGCTATTGCTTGAACATTTCATTATTTTCTCACGTTTCACGGTTTTGAAGCCATTGACGACATTTTGCACGATATTCATGAATTCATGACAATCGTAAAATAAGCAATGGAAACGTGATGTTTGTTTGTTGTTAAAAATCATCGTCGATGTTGTATAAAAAGGCCATCGAATCCAAAGCAAAACCATCCAATTGTTTTCTCTCGAATCAGTCAAAGCAAACAATCAAAATGAAATTCGCAATTTTCGCCATTTTTTTCGCAATCATCGCTCTTGTCGCCATTAACACTGTTAATGGTCAAGTTGAGGTTGATAAGACTCTGGAAGGTGCTCCTGTTGTTGGTGATCAAGTCAAGAAGGCCGAATTGGGCAAGAAGCTGGGTGGTCTTCCGATGGGCAAGAATATCGTTTCAAAATCTAAAGACGCACCAGCACCACCACCAGCATCAGCTGAACCGGAATCCGCATCACAAGCAGGAGATGCATCTCCACCAGAATCCCGATGATTTTTGGCAACCGTTTACCTAACTCACAACCCGAACTATGGCTACAATGACTGTGTGCTAAACCACACAATCACTTACTATTTTTCTATTTTTTTAACAAATCTGCAGGTTTTGTTTTTCTTATCGTTTCTTTAAATAATTGAATAAA